TAACAAAACCACCTTTTGCAACAAAGACATCTCAAGTTGGCTCTGGATGTCTAACTCTAATAACAACTCTACTCTGAAAAAAACACATCCCATGGATCAGAGTCCTAGTTGGGGCTCAGAAACAACTGTTTCAAACCAGAGGTCAAAAATACTTGCGTGGGGCACCTGGGTGGCTCAGTCACTTAAGTGTCCCAGCTGGATTTCAGCTCAGGTCCTGATCTTAGGGTTGTGAGATTGAGCCACCCTTAAGGTTCTCTCTCCCTCTCCTTTCGCCCCTCCCCACGTCTAAAAAACAAAACAAAACAAAAAAACCTTGATTGCTGGTAGGAGAGGGTCTACAGTTTTCAAAGAACTTCTACCTTTAGTTTTCTCTGCTTTCCAGAGAAATATGCACCCAGATCCCCCCCCCTCCCAGGGATGCTGTTTACCCTTTTGGGGGTGAAAGGGCTGCCCTAAGGTTGCCAGGTTTTATGATGCAAACTTTAACTCCAAAGTAGTGAGGGAACTTCCAGCGATGGAAGAGATCAGTAAATCCTTTCCTCCAAAAGCAAGTATAAAATTGGACAAAACCGTCAGAAACAATGGTTTAAGGTCTCTGGAAATTAACTAAAGGTAAACAACAAATTGAGAATCATTTATTCATGAAAAACTGCTAGCTCTTCAAATGAGACCAGCGGGAAATTGTGATCTCCTTGCCTGGGGCCATTCCCCCATCGCAACCCCCCCCCAGGGTTAACAGGCCAGAAGGGTAGAGCTGCTGAGATTTGGTGGGGTGAGGTCCAGAGCCAACGACCAAGAAAGAATTCTTGAGACGTGTTTGGCACAAAATGGTGGTTTTCTTAAAGCCCGGGGACAGGACCCGCAGGGCAGAAAGAGCTGCGGCACCAGGGTTGTGACAGGACACTGATTATATACTTGGGAGTTGGGGGAGGTAAGGAAAAGGGAGTTTTAAAAGGATTTTCATATGTTAAAAGACTCACAGGATACCCGAGGCCTTGCCATTGTTAAGGTTGTTTTTCCCTCTAGTAAGGCATTAACATTAAGAGAGTTGTTAGCTTCCAGGAGGGAGGAAGGGAGGAATGTCACCCATGTCCCACCCAGGAGGAGAGGGGGGTGCAAGGTGTCAGCTTGTGCTTTGTCCTCAGCTTGCCTCCTGCTTCTTCATCAGTAGGACAGGAACAGGGGAAAACTCATAGCTCTTCCAGCCTCCGTTTATGGCCCTGGTTGGGGCAAGCAGCAGACCAGCCAGAAATTTAAATGTGAGGTCCTGGAAATAAGAGAGCCATTGAAAGGCTGGAATAATAAGCTCTCCATACATAGGCAGCTGCCTGGAGCACTACTCACATGCACGAGGAGAATGGTGGGAGCCCAGCTGAAACTAAAGCCCAGGCTAATTTGAGAACTGATTGAACTCTGAATGCCCTGCCAGGCTGTGACAATGAAAAATGTCTCCAGGCATGTCCAGATATCCTTTAGCAGGAATGGGGGAGCAATATTACTCACAGTGGAGAACCATTGCTCCAATTATTAAGGAAATAACATTTTTTTTAAGTCTTTAAAACGTAAGAGTGGAATTAAAATGGTGTACTAGAAACTTTTTAACATAAGAGATGGCAGTAAATGAGGAACAGAGGAAAAATGACATAAGACCTAAAGAAAATAAATAGCAAAATGAGAGATACGAGTCCAATGACATTAAGGGGCACCTGGGTGGCTCAGTCGGTTAAACATCTGACTCATGATCTCAGGGTCACGGGATTGAGCCCCGTGTTGGGCTCAGCACAGAGTCAGCTTAAGATTCGCTCCCTCTCCCTCTACCCCTCCCCCCCACTCATGCGCTCATGCTTGCTCTCTCTCTCTCAAAAAAAAACCAAAACCAAAAAACCAATGACAATAATTACATTACTGTAAATGAACTAAACTTTCCAATCAAAGGTAAAAATTGTGGGAATGTATACAAAAACAAGACCTAACTATACACAGCCTGTAAGAGACAGGTTTTATTTATTTATTTATTTATTTATTTATTTATTATTTATTTTTTTTTAAGTAAGCTCTACACCCAATGTGGGGCTTAAGCTCACCACCCCGACATCAAGAGTTGCATGCTCTACTGACTGAGCAAGCCAGGTGCCCCTATAAGAGACATATTTTAGGTTTCAAAACATAAACAGATTGAAAGTAAAAAGATCAAAAAAGATATGCCATAAAAATAGTAATTGTAAGAGAACTTAAATAGCTATATTAATCGACTTTAAGAATACAAATATTACTAGAGACAAATAGAGACATTTTATAATGTCATTACATCTTTAGAAGGTATAAAATTTATTATGTACATGCACCTAACAACTGACCCCCAAAATAACAGGAAGCAAAATGAACAGAACTGAAAGGAAAAATAGACCACTCAAGAATTATAGCTGGATTGTTCCTCTCTTGAGTATAGATAAAACAGAAGATTAGTAAGATAAGTACACTTGAACATTATCAACCAACTTGACCTGAGAGGTATAGAACACTCTACTCAACAAACAGAATAACTTCCTTAAAAAAAAAAATTATTTATTTATTGGTCAGAGAGAGAGCACAAGCAGGGGGAGTGGCAGGAAGATGGAGAAGCAGGTTCCCCACTGAGCAAGGAGCCTTAAATGGGGCTCAATCTCAGTACCTGGGATCATGACCTGAGCTGAAGGCAGATGCTTAACCAACTGAGCCACCCAGGCGTCCCCAGAATAACTTTCTTTTCAAGCACACATGAAACATTCTCTAGAATAAACAATATACTAGGCCATAAACAAATCTCAGTAAAATTTAAAAGATTGAAGTCATACAAAGATCGTTCTACTATGAGAGGAATTAAATTGGAATTCAACAACAACAAAAAATTTGAAAGTACCCCAAATATTTGGAAATTAAACAAGACATATCTGAATAATGCTTAGGTCAAAGGAAAAAATCACGTGGGAAATTAGAAAAGATCTTGAGTCAAATCAAATGAAAACAAAATTTGTAGGATGCAGCTAAAGTTGTGCTTAGAGGGAGTTTTATAGCTTTTCATGTGCTCAATATCATTAATCATCAGGAAAATGCAAATTAAAAACATAAAGGGGTACCACTGCATACATAATGGTATGGCTATAATCCAAAAGACTGACAATGCTAAGGGTCGGTGAAGGTATGGAGAAAACAGAACTCTCATACATTGCCGGTGGGAGTGTATAATGATATAACGTCTTTGGAGAACATTTTGGCAGTTTCATAAAAAGTTAAACACATCATATGATACAGCAGTTCCACTTCCAGGTATCTACTTAAGAGAAATGAAAGCATGTGTTCACATGAAGACTACTTGAATTTCACAGTAGCATTATCTATATTAGTTCCAAACTGGAGGCAATCCAAATGTTCATCACTGGTGAATGGATAAAATGTGGTATAACCATATTATAGAATACAATTCTGCAACAAAAAAGAATGAACTCTTGAGTTATGCAGTAACATGGATAAGCCCAAAAACATTATTCTAAGTAAAAAAAAAAAAGCCAGACACAAAGAACTACATGTTGTATGAGTCTATTTATATAGAATCTCTAGAAAAGATAAATCTATAGGGACAGAAAGTAAATCAGTGGAAGTGGGAACTGAGTTCAGGCACAAGGGAACATTTTGGATGAAGTTTTTCATTACTGGATTGTGTGATAATGTGATAATTTTTTCATTACTGGATTTTGTGATAATGTGATAATTTTTTCATTACTGGATTGTGTGATAATGTAAAAACATTATTGAACTGTACACTTACATAAAATTCAATAAGTGAACTCTGTAAATTATACCTCAACAAAACTATTTTAAAACAAAGGTAAGTATCTCCATCCTGCAAAGGAAATAACCCGAAGACCAAAGCTGATTGATTCTAAGAAATGTCTCCAAACTCTTCTCAATTCTCTGCTGTTAAGAGATGCCTGGGTACCTAAGAAAAGGAGAATTCCTGGAGTCTTCCTAGAGACATCCCAATCATTTGACCCATAGATTCAGAAGTGTAATTATTAAACCTGTCAAACACCAAAGACTATAAAGGAAGAAGCGGTTGCTGAAGAGCCCCCAAAAGAATTGACTTATTCTGTGTGGCAGAGACTGTCAGTTTTCTCACAATATACATTCTCCCCTTTGTCCACAATAACTGGATTTTTAGCTGAATCCATGGCTACTCAAAATGAGAACCACAGTTTCGGCCTGCCTTGCAGCTGGGTCTGACAATGTGACTAAGTTCTGGCCAATGTATGTGAGCACAAGCAAGATGTACAAAACATCTGTGCTTTGCCCTTACAGGATAGAGCCCTGTCCTTTTCCCCATTCCAGTTGGCTAGAGCCATCTTGGACTGTAGGATAGCAGAGCAGGAAGACTGAAAAAATATGAGCCCCTGACAAATCAATAGAGAGGAGATACCATACCATGCCAGGTTTTTCCACGAGGGAAGAAAGAAATACCTGTCTTGTGTAATCCACTGTTAATTTGGGTGTCTATCACATGTAGCCGAAACTATATCCTGCAATAAGAATATGATCTGTTGTATACAATCCAGAAGCTATAGAGTGTGACAGTTATTTCCAAATGTATCCATTAACCAGTCAGAAGTAACGAAGAATGGGAGGGAGGGAGGAGGGAAAGGGAAGAGAGAGTGGGGGTGGGGGAGAGATTTCTATCCAACATTGCTATCTGGAGCATTCTTTTGCTGAGCAACAAGGAGACCAGTATATACCTAGGGAGGACGGTTATGATTGGCAAACTTCTCTTTCTTCATGTGAAGGAGAACGGAAGCCAATGTGAGAAATCCCAGGAACTACTGAAGCCATTCTGCCATGGGAGTGGAGGTTCTTTCAGGCTCCTGGTTCCAGATGGGAGCCCAAAGCTCATGAAAAGCCCCTCTAAAGAGGCACCTTAGGTCCTCCTCATCTGTCTTTTGGTAACTTATCCTCTCTCCTTGTTTTCCCAGGTGCCTATTCCTGCAGCTGCTTGTCAACGGTTTCCTTCTTTTTCTAGTTCACAGTAAGACTCTGCTGGACACTGCCAGAGACAGAGGTCCAAAGTCCAAGAAATTAGGTGGATTCAGAAGGGACACATGAAATGTGGGAAAGACTAGGAAAAGAACCACCTTTTTCCAGAAACTGCTACGGCTTCCCATTGCACAGAAGACAGAGTACTCATTCTCTAGCTTGGCCTGTGACTCCTCACCAGGTCCATTATCTGACTCTATCTCTCCATTTCAAAATTTTTCATGTACATTACCTCAGGGATGCTTTATCACAGCCCTACTTTACTGGGAAAAATATTGGATCACTGAGGGGTTAGATGACCTAGCTAAGGTCACACAAAATGGAGCCAGTATGTTTTGCAGGTTTCCAGACTCCAACTCCCAAATGCTCCATTGCACCAGCATGTGTAGGAGCTATGGGCGAAGACTTGAATGTGGACAAGCAAGACCCATTCAAAAATGTTCCATTGATCTGGGGTGAAAGCAAACTTCTTTAAACAAGACATGGGGTATATAAAATAATTTTATAAAATTATGAAGTGCTATACAAAGATTACTTATTATTAAATAGTTTTTATTTACATGAAGCATGTTTATATACCTATGGCTACATACCATAGAGTACGACTAAGTAGAATTAGATGCTGTCTTGGATCCAGATCATTGTTCTTTTCTGTCAAAGTAGATAATTAAGAGCAAATTTTATAATTGAATAGTGCTTCTCTCTTATTTAGTAGGCTGGTATCATCTTCTCATGGGACCAGTACTTGGAAGAGGACATCTAGATGAAGAGAAATATATCTATGTCATACCTCCGTCCTCACATACTCCTTCACCCACTGGGTGGCCACAGAGATGCTCTCTGTCTTGGTGACATCCAGGATCAGTGTCTCCAGCCTATCTGACTTCTGGCCTCTCAGCTGTAGGCCTTCTCCTTCTGACGCGTGGCCAGCACCCTCAAGCCTTGCAGGTCCAGCTGCCTGGCCAGCAGGTTCCCTAAGCCCGAGTCAACATCATAATTACGTCATTATTGTCTTGGAGGTGGCCAACCCATCACCTGCCTTTCCTGGTACTGGTGCAGAAGATGGTAGAGCCCCCCGCCCCAGGGCGGGGTCGGGGGGTAGGCAGCAGAGGGAAGGCACTCCTCATTCTTCAGTAGAAGGAGAAATTCAGACTTCTCCTTTCCTGGCAAACTTAGAAGAGTTGGCATTTCTGTCCTTATTTTGAAAGCCTCTTAAAATTACACAAGATAGTGGATTACACAAGATTTCTAAGGAGAGTCTCAATTCTGCCTTTGAAGTTGTTTGCTTCCAGTTCATTTTCATATCCTGGTTGAAACTTGTCCCTGACTATTAAAACAAAAACACACACACAAACAATTTAAAAAATCTTTATACTTCCTGCTCCTCTGTCAGACATTCCCAAAGGAACATTTTGTTTGTTATTCCAAGTTTGGCATTAGAATTCTCTGTATCCATTTGTTCTGGTCCAGATGCAGTATTTACACTTTTGTTGTTCAAAAATGTCTCAAATGGTCTGGCCAGGCTATAGTTCAGGGACCAGCCCGCCCCATGATGCTCCAGATTGCTCTCTCTCCTCCCCCCTCCCCCAGTTTCTGGGTTGAGGTTCACTGGAGATCAGAGAGCTTGCCAAGCCTCAGGGGAAAAGCAGGCACCTCCCATAGAAGAGGAGGCCTATGGATGACAGAGGCCCCTCAGCCTTCAGAGGGAAAGAGCTGGAAGAGAGGCCCAAGCAAGGCTGGTTAGGAGAGGTTTCTGAAGGCCCATGGGAATAGAAGCAAGCCGCATCACAACTGCTGGCTAGAAAACCCTGCTGCAAATGTGTGTGTACAGAGATGTTCCCTGGGAGGAAACAAGCAATGACACATTCAAAGATAGGATTTTAGAACTAGAAGGACCTGCTCTGCCAGTTGCTTATAGGGTATGTAATTATTCTCTCTGGGCCTCTAGTTTCCTCCTCATTAAAGCTGGAATAATACCTATGAAGGTTCTAGTGAAGATTAAAGTGCTTACAACAGTGCCTGGCAGGTAGGAAGCACTATGTAAGTGTGTGCTTTTGTGTGGGGGCTGGAATCCTGACTGCCACTTATCAGCTATGTAATCTTGTGCAAATGACTTAACCTCTCCGAACCTTAGTTTCCTCCTCTATAAAATAGGGGCAACCTCACAGGGCTTGTTATAGAGATTACATTAAAATTAAAACACTGAACACTTAAAACAGTCCTTGGGACTGAGTAATGTCTGATAAATGCTAATTATTTCTATTTCTATTATTTTATTGGTACATTTCTCTCATCATCTCTACTCTTGCTCCTCCTGTATCCCCCCAACCAGGTTCATTCCAACTAATTCCTCAATGGCAGCAAAAGTGACCTTCTTTAAAAATAAGTAGCTTCAAGGGGAACCCTCTTACACGGTTGGTGGGAATGCCAACTGGTGCAGTCACTGTGGAAAACAGTATGGAGGTTCCTCACAAAGTTAAAAATAGAGCTGCCCCACGACCCAGCAATTGCACTACCAGGTATTTATCCAAAGGATACAAAAATAGTGATTTGGAGGGGCACCTGCACCCCAATGTTTATAGCAGCAATGTCCACAATAGCCAAAATACAGAAAGAGCCTAGATGTCCATCAACAGATGAATGGATAAAGAAGATGTGGTATATATACACAATGGAATATTATTCAGCCATCAAAAAGAATGAAATCTTGGTCCCCCGGAAGTGGAGCCCTGGACTTCCACTCGTGTGTGAGGCGAGCGGAGCCAGAGTGGAGACCAGAGGCCGAACTCGGGATCTGACAAGATGGCCGGGCTCCCCCGCAGGATTATCAAGGAAACCCAGCATTTGCTGGCAGAACCAGTTCCTGGCAGTAAAGCAGAACCAGATGAGAGCAACGCCCGTTATTTTCATGTGGTCATTGCTGGCCCCCAGGATTCCCCCGAACTTTTCCTACCAGAAGAATACCCGATGGCAACCCCTAAAGTATGTTTCATGACCAAAATTTATCATCCTAACGTAGACAAGTTGGGAAGAATATGTTTAGATATTTTGAAAGATAAGTGGTCCCCAGCACCGCAGATCCACACAGTTCTGCTATGGACCCAGGCCTTTTTAAGTGCTCCCAATCCAGATGATCCATTAGCAAATGATGTAGCGGAGCAGTGGAAGACCAACGAAGCCCAAGCCATAGAAACATCTAGAGCATGGACTACGCTATATGCCATGAATAATATTTAAAATCGATCTGATCATCAATTGTGCAACACTTCTGTTCTGCCAAGACTTCTTGCTTTTTTGTTGGCATTTAATGGACACAGTCTTAGAAACATCATAGAATAAAAGCCCAGACATCTTCAGTCCTTTGGTGATTAAATGCACATTAGCAAATCTATGTCTTGTCCTGATTCACTGTTGTAAAGCATGAGCAGAAGCTAGAAGTACATCTGGATTGTTGTGAAACGTTTAAAAGCAGTGGCCCTTCTCTGCTTTCATTCATTTCCCCCATCATGGTTTGAGTATAAAGCACTGTGAATGAAGGTAGTTGTCAGGGTTAGCTGCAGAGGTGTGTGTGTTTTTCTTTATTTCTTTTTTTGAGGGGGAGAGGTAGTTTTATTTTAATTTTATGGGCTCCTTTCCCCCTTTTTATGGTGATCTAATTGAATTGGTTAAAAGCAGCTAACCCGTTCTTTAGAATATGCTCTCTAGCCAAGTCTAACTTTACTTAGATGCTGTAGATGGACAAGCTTGATTGTTTGAACCAAAATGGGAACATTAAACAAACATCACAGCCCTCACTAATAACATTGTGACTTTGTTGTCAAGTGTAGAATCCTTCCTTCAAGAAAAAGCTTGTGACTATTTTGTATGGCTTGTCTGGAAACTTCTGTAAATCTTATGTTTTAGTAAAATATTTTTTGTTATTCTAAAAAAAAAAAAAGAAATTTTGCCATTTGCAGTGGCTCAGTCAGTTAAGTGTCTCCCTTCAGTTCAGATCATGATGCCGGGGTCCTGGGATAGAGCCCTGAATAGGATTCCCTGCTCAGCAGGAAGTCTGTTTTTCCCTCTGCCCCTCTTCCTGCTTGTGCTCTCTCTCTCATGCCTCCCCCCTCTCAAATAAATAAATAAAATCTTAAAAAAAAATAAATCTTACCATTTGCAATGATGTGAATGAAACTAGAGGATATTATGCTAAGTGAAATAAGCCAGAGAAGGGGAGCCTGGGTGGCTCAGTTGGTTGAGCATCTGCCTTTGGCTCAGGTCATGATACTGGAGTCCCAGGATCGAGCCCCACATTGGGCTCCCTGCTCAGCACAGAGTCTGTATCTCTCTCTGACCCTCCCCACTCTCGTGCTCTCTCTCTCATACTCTCTCTCTCAAAAAAAAGAGAAAGAAGTCAGAGAAAGACAAATACAATAAGATTTCACTCGTATGTGGAATTTAAGAAACAAAACAGATGAACATACAGGAAGGGAAAGAAAAATAAAATATAAAAACAGAGGGAGGCACACCATAAGAGACTCTTAACTATAGGAAGCAAATTGAGGGGAGGGGGGTGGGTGGGGGATGCGGTAACTGGGTGATGGACATTATTTTTTTTTTAAGATTTAATTTATTTATTTGAGAAGGAGAATGAGCAAGAGAGAAAACATGAGCTGGGGGAGGAGCAGAGGGAGAGGGAGAAGCAGACTCCCGCCTGAGCAGGGAGCCTGAGCAGGGAGTCCTCCATCCGAGGACTCCAAGATCACAACCTGAGCTGAAGGCAGACGCTTAACCAACTGAGCCACCCAGGCGCCGTGGTGATGGGCATTATTAAGGAGGACACTTGGGGCGCCTGGGTGGCTCAGTTGGTTAAGCAACTGCCTTCGGCTCAGGTCATGATCCTGGAGTCCCTGGATTGAGTCCCGCATCCGGCTCCCTGCTCGGCAGGGAGCCTGCTTCTGCCTCTGACCCTCTCCCCTCTCATGTGCTCTCTCTCTCTCATTCTCTCTGTCTCAAATAAATAAATAAATAAATAAATAAATAAATCTTTAAAAAAAAAAAAAAAGGAGGACACTTGATGTAATGAGCACTGGGTGTTATATGCAACTGATGAATCACTAAATTCTACCCCTAAAACTAATAATACAGCATATGTTAACTAAAATGAATATAAATAAAAATTTTTTAAAAAGAAATAAAAAAAATAAGTAGCCTCAAAACAGATCTGTAGAGACACCAAGCACATCAGTGGTTGTCTGGAACCTGGGCAGAAACCAATGTTATTGAAAAGAGGGAAGATCAACTGCAAAGATGCACCAGGTAGCTTTTTGGGATGAGAGAAATGTCCTATATCTTGACTAATGATGGTTGCACAGGTATATTTATAAGTCAAAACTCATCAAACTTTATAGTTAAAAGATGCATTTTGTTTAATATAAATTTTACCTCAATAACATTGGTTTAAAAAAAAAAGGTAAACAACCTCCCTGGTCTTCTATTACATTACTAAATTTTCTCTGCTTAATGGCATTTATCAGTATATAAAATTATTTCATTAATTTTTTTTTGTTTGTCTATTGCCCAACACCTCCACCCCATCAGAATATAAACTGCTTGGAGGAATCTTGTCTACTACTCTAACTCCAGCATCTAGAACTACACCTGGCACATAGTAGGAGCACAATAAAGTCTTTTTTTGACAGAGTAACTGGTTAAAATCCTTCAATGGTTCTGTCTCCAAATTATATACTGATTTCATCCACTCTCATCATCCCCACTACCACCACTTTAACCTAAAGTACCATTATTTCTTGCTTGGATTATGCAATGGTCCCCTTGCTTCCACCATTGCTCCCTCATTTCAGTCTCTCCACAGAGCCCCTTTTCAAAATTTAAATCAGATCATATTACTTCCCTGCTTGAAATCAAAACAAAACAAAACAAAAAACGTGCGGACATAATTTAATTAAGAGGCTGAGTAAGTGAATAAGAAAAGGCAATTTAAAACTTCAGGAAAGTACAAAAGCTATACAAGAAAAGTTATAATCTTAATATGAAAGAAACTAAACTGTAATATTGGAGCAGATTTGAATCTCAGTCCACAAATTTAAAAAAAGCAAACAAACACCTTAACTGTTAATGATAGGGTGGTGATAGGGGGATAGCCCTTAGAGCAAAAAATCAAGTCTTCTATCTGCATAGGTTACCTCTTCAATGTCTGCCATTCCAGTCTACATGCTCTTTATATCTGGTGAATCTCTACTGGCTTCCTGCTATGGTGGGACACAGGTGTCTTATATGAAGTCGCCCAGGGTCTCATCTACCTAAACACACAATGCAGCTGGCACTCTTTTGAGTCTTGCCACCTCCCCTAGGTGCTTCCACAAAGTGAATGGTCCTTCCTCCTCTGGAAGAGCCAAACCTCATTCTCTTGTCTTATCAGCCAGAGTGAATCTCCTTGTCTTGGGGAAAAGGGCCTGCTTCTCTGAGACACTATGTGCACCCACAAGTCACATTCCCTTTTGTTTCTTTCCCCAATTCCAGTAATTTCTCTAAAAATATGAAGGTTGGAGGAAGAAACAATAAAGATAAGTGGGATAAAGCCAAAACTAGATGGCAGAGCAAAGTAGAAAGAACCTGCAGCCTCGATGCCATTATTCAGCCATTGAGTCCTGTCCTCTTTCTTTATTGTTAAAGCCAATGTGATTGGTTTTTCGTCACTTGCTATTCAATACATCCTACCTGATACACAATTTGGTGTCAGGAATAAAAGTGCTGCAAATAACAGACTTAATGGGTTGTACAGTAGCCCCCCAAAAGATATGTCTACATTCTAATTCCTGGAACCTGTGAATGTGACCTTATTTGGAAAAGGGGTCTTTGCAGAGGTAATTAGTGTTCATTTTGGCTATTTTCAAGTTCAGTCGGATGTTGAAGAGATACAAATAAAGACATTTTAATTTAAAAAATTCACATTTGACCTTTATTACATAACCATTCCTCAAGATCAAAAAAAAAAAAAGTCTTTTCAATAGAACTTCACATGACTTAGAAATTTAAGGTGTTTTTTTTTTTTTAATTTAGTTTCATGGCTTATTTGACAATGTTACTAATGTCAAGAATGTATTCTCTATAACTATTAACTCTGGGAATCTGAACACCTGAGTTTTGCCTTGGCCATCACGCTGGGAGGCCTTGGGCAGGTCACTTACTCCTCTGAGAGCTCAGTACTACCGTGGAGCTATCAGTGGTTCTCAAGCACCCACAGACATCGGACTCATCACCTTGTTACAAGCACAGATTTCTGGGCCCCATCTCAAGCCACTGAATCAGATAATCTAACATTGAGGCCAAGAATCTATGTTTTTAATTAACCAGGCGATTACAATGTACAGTTTGGGAACTACTGGATTGGATGGCCTCTGGGTTCCTCCTAGCTCTAAAAATGTGATTTTCTGATTTCTGTTTCTTGTATCACTGTTTGTCCTATCTCTGCTACCAGATATTATGCTAAAAAACAGAACCACAAAATAAACAATAAAAAAAACCAAGACCATGATTTAATCATCTTTACATCCTTCCAGCACTTACATAGTGCCTGGTATGTTGTAGACACTCAATAAATATTTGAAAAAGATTAATCAATGGTGATGAAATAAATGAATGTTATTTTATGTGGATCCCAATCACCTATGAACAGAGAGATTTATGTAGAAAGAAAATATCATAAACTTTTACCTGATATAATCTTGCACTCCCTGTCTGCTCTACTACATATTTCAAATAATGGGTTGTGGGAACGAGGTTAATGCATATTTAGAGACCCAGTAGGCAAGTGGTTGAGATGTTTCTGTGGGCCCTCTTATCCTGCAGTATTTCCCAGTGGTAGTGATCACTGAGAGAGGCTCATGATTCAGCAGAAGCTCGGTTTCCTCCCATTGACATTTCCAGGTCCAGAAAAAGCCATATCCTGAATGAGTGACAGATGTTCTTGGGGCCATGCTGTAGGTCTTTGCACCTGCAAAGGCCACTTCAGGTTTCTGTGAGTCCCCAGTGAGTGGGAAGAGGCACTTCTCTTCTGCTAGAAGTTATCCATAAATTCTCCGGCAGTGGGTGTCAGCCAAGCAAAGTGTCCCCCAGAATGTCTGATACCACCTCTTGTGACCCTACAGTCTCTTTTCCCACCCCCCTCCCTCCTCCACACTCCACTGACCACCCTAGACTTCCCCAGCTCAGACACTGTCTGCTGGCTTTGGAAGGTACCGGCTCAGGATGAAATCTGTCACAGGGGTGGGCAACTTAGCCAATGGAATGTAGAGGAGTTTGGCATCCAGGCCAGGGTTATAACGGATTCGGGGGCTCCGGGAAACAATGGCATGCTCCATGCTGTTGGTGACCTCGCTGATCCTTGGCTCTGCCAACTGCATCATGTTTTTTAACTTGTCAGTATCTGTTTGAAGGTACAAGAGGGAAGGAAAGTCAAAGGCTCTGTTACTCTTCGTAAGAGATGGTTTCTTCTGAATTCTATCCAAACTCCCTTTTCATCAGATCCCTGATCCAACATTTCAGGCAGATCTACCACACCCTCCAGGTTGTCCCTTAGGCAAACACCCTGTAAATAATCTTATTTCTCTTCCCGAATTCAACAATTGGTGTTGAATTAGCAATTAGAAGAACTGTGCCCAGTTCTGCCACTTATTAGTTGTGTGACTTTGAGCTTAAACTTCCATCATCTGTAAAATGAGGATAATAATACCTGCTCTGGAGAATAATAAAGATGAATAATAGCAGGGTAGACAGTGGGGAAGACAGAATAGAAAACAAGTGTATATAAGTGCATGGGAAAAATGGGAAGAAAATAAGTAAAAATACTATCTGGTTGGTGGGATTCCTAGTCACTGGAGGCTCTTTTTTTCTCCTAGATAGGTCCTAGAGTTCTCAAATTTTCTACAAAAGCATGCAAGAAAAAAAAGATGTTATTAAAAAATAGTAACAGGGGCACCTAGGTGGCTCAGTCGGTTAAGCATCTGCCTTCGGCTCACGTCATGATCATGATCTTGGAATCCTGGGGTGGAGCTCCCTGCCCAGCGGGGTGTCTGCGTCTCCCTCTGCCCCTGCCCCCCATGCTTGCATGTGCACACACACTCTCTCTCTCTGAAATAAATAAATAAATAAGACCTTTAAAAAAAAAGATTTTATTTATTTATTTGACAGAGAGAGACACAGCGAGAGAGGGAACACAAGCAGGGGGAGTGGGAGAGGGAGAGGCAGGCTCCTTGCTGAGCAGGGAGCCTGATGCAGGGCTCAATCCCAGGACCCCGGGATCATACCTGAGCTGAAGGCAGACGCTTAACGACTGAGCCACCCAG